ACGACCGCACAGAGTAGCATTATAACAGAACTTTCAAATGTATCTAGAATGATAAAACAACGCTGCTTTACCCCACATACTCACGACCGGAAGGCGCGGAAGCGGTCGACTGTGGCATAATAAAAGCTCTGCTGCTTTCGAGCTGTGTGTCACGCTCGTTCAGTGGCCTCGTTTCGCTTCCACGGCTTTCAGCCTCACCCTGCTTCATTCTACTACGTTAATAAATCATTAGCTCATCCATGAACATGATTTCTGCCCGAGTCCCGTCGGATTGCATCGGCTGTGGGGATGAAGACCACAACTCCCATGATTCCACACTCACAGCGTCATCACACTATGCCTTTGCCTCTGTTTATTTTGAATACATATTGTGCCTTTAATGCACTTTATCTGTTAATAATTACTAGAAATTGCTGCAAATATAGTGAAACTGCTGTCTATCCTATTTAAACCCATTCAAACATACTGACAGCGCGGAGTTGTTTGGAACTATTGAGAGCTCCATGAACCACTTGACCGCGTGGCGGCGAGATCAAAGCATGTCGCAACTCTCTTTCTCAACGGCTCTGGGGTGCGTTTCCCAAAAGCATCATTAGCTAACTGGTTGTAACGACGGAACTTGCGACCATTTGCTTTTGGGAAACGCACCTGTAGTTTTTCAGCGTTCACACGTCATGACCGTCATGACGACGCGCTTCATCAGTATCCATGGCAACGTTCTGTTGGCGTTTTCTGTAAACATCAGCATCATCAGCATCAGTTAATCGACTGATCGGCTTTTCCTTTCGCGATTGTGATCGTTTAGATCAGTTTTATTTTGTGTGGTTAACAAGAACCGTGTCGACATGCCTTGTGTTCATTATAAGTTTCGAAGTAAACTCACTCACGACACGGTCGAGTTTGAAGGCCTTCACATCACTCTGACAGAGTTAAAACGACAAATCATGAGGCGCGAGAGACTGAAGCTCTGTGACCTGCAGATCAGCAGCGCGCAAACAAATGAAGGTGAGTTCAGCTCCAGATCACAATAAACCAAACTAAACTTAATTAAACATGTAGAAATAAAACAAAACATGAGGGTGAGTTCAGCTCCAGATCACACTAAACCAAACTAAACTCAACTAAACATGTAGAAATAAAACAAAACATGAGGGTGAGTTCAGCTCCAGATCACACTAAACCAAACCAAACTAAACTCAACTAAACATGTAGAAATAAAACAAAACATGAGGGTGAGTTCAGCTCCAGATCACACTAAACCAAACTAAACTAAACATATAGAACAAAAAACTCATGAGGGTGAGATGAGCTCCACATCAAACTAAATTAAGCATTTAATCATGATCAGACAGAACACAAACTAATGCTTTTCAATAAAAAGGCACATTTATGAATCTGCTGCTGCAGTCTTATTATGACAGTAATGGAGTCAGTAATATTTTGATAGGCCTATATTTAATGCACTCAAAGAATACTATGGTACTGTGTGAAACTAATGGTCTTCTTGGTGCTTTTGCTGTCAGAATACACTGATGATGAAGCGCTCATTCCCAACAACACGTCAGTCATCATCAGACGAATCCCTGTTGTTGGGCTGAAATCCACAAACAGAAGATTTGTCAAGTAAGTCACGTGACACGAGCACAACTTTCATTTAGATGTAATATGAAGAATCATAAGTGTCATTGGTGTTTTAGTCATTTGAACTCTTTGCTGTTTGGTTTTGCAGTAATCAGCCTGAACCATCATGTGGATCTTCACAAACAGTATGTAAAAAAGGGTTTGCATTGGCCTTCATGTTTAATAACTCTCTTTGGAAAGGTTCCTTATCAAATATTTGATTCCCATGGTTAATTTTGTACTCTTAACATATGGAGCATCAGCGACTGGCTCCTCCAGTATATCACAGATAAACACGTTTGCTATGTTTTATAATGTTACACAGTTTTTGATCAAAATGTCAGGAAAAGCCGTTTGCTTGTTGCGAATCGAAGGTAAGCCCAATTCCACTGAACGGTTTTAAATAATATCTTCATTCTATATGCACTATTGTACAATTTTACCTTACATCTTCTGTATGAATAAACAACACACTTAGTCTGTTTGTTTGCTCAGAGTTTGAATGTCACTCATGAATTCACAGGACAAAAGTTTTGCTCCTCGTAAACGCATGCGGAAATGCGCAGGGATTCCTCGTAGTTTCCTGGTGGAGGTGGATGATCCTGACAGAAAGGGAGTCATGATGGACAGCAGTGGGAAATACGTCATTCCCATTATGAATGCGTGAGTTTACTGTACTTGCAGGTGCTAGTGTTTGTTGTCTTGTTGTGTTTGAATCATGTCGTGTTTGATCTGTTAAGTGAGGCCTATGTGATTGGGAAGAAAGAGAAGCCGCCCTTCTCACCCCAGAATGAGCCTTCATCCTCATCCTCATCCGATCCAGTCCCCGCCGCGCTGCTATGTCTGATCTGTAAGGATCTGCTGACTGATGCTGTGATGATTCCCTGCTGCAGCACCAGCTACTGTGATGAATGTGAGTTCAGTCTGTTCAAACAAACATCAGTCAGAAACAAACTGGCTGTTTCTGATTATCTTTTGGTCTCAGGTATCAGAACGTGTTTGCTGGAGTCTGACGGACACCTTTGTCCAACCTGCAGACAGTCAGATGTTTCACCTGACGCTTTGACCGCAAACACTGTTTTGCGTCAAGTAAGACCTTAAGCCCCGTTTCTTCTTGTGGTTCATCTTCTTTTCAGAACATGATTCTTTCTCACACAGGAGGTGAATCATTTTAGGAATGGAACCAGATCTTTGCGTCCAAACCACAGCCGTCGATCCCGGTCACCCATCCCAGAATCCTCATCAAAGAGGCGTCGGGATGTGAGAGAGAATCGTTCCCACTCAAGATCTCCTCTAAACAGATATACAGACCAGAAGAGACTACATTACTGAGAAACTTTCAGTCCTGCATTGGAGAAACCTTGTGAAGCATCAGTTACAAACGCCCCGAGAATAAACACAAAGCATCAAAATGTATTTTTATTTTTTATATATATTTTTCATAAAAAGGTATTGAAAAATACATTTATATTGCATAATGGGGGTTGTCCTTTTGTATTTTTTAAATAGCCCAAGCTTTGACCTTTCACTCACAAATTCTACTACTTCTATTAGTTCTGTTATACTAATATTAGTTACCCTATAACCAACTAGTAATATAGTCAGTTAAATGCATAACGATACTGCATGGTATCATGGTCAGATGCAAGATCAGTGAATGTGTATTTATTCATGATTATGAAACCACAACTCTTGGGGAACAGGAAGGATTGCAAAAGGAAGCCTGCCAGTACTGTCTTAAGATAAGTATTGTTGTTTCTTTGTGAAGTGACCCCCTTATTTAAATCCTCTTCATACCAATTGTTAACAAAAGGTCTATTCATTTATTTAGACATAAAGTTTCGATGTGATGCAGAAGTGCAAAAGTTTGCCAGTCCGTCTGTAACAGGAAACAGAAAGGTAAGGTCATAGAGATCTAGCTCACTCACTGGAACTTCTAGTGAAATTAACACTCACTGCTCGGAGATCAAAATGTGTGTAAAATGTTTCATAAGATTTTCACAGTACAGCAGCCTACAAGCTCAACCCAACTTTCACATTATACGTCAACAGGAAATCTCTTTTTAACATCAAACATGCATTTATCTGAGAGGCACACACATATCAGTCATTGTAGTCAAGACCTCTTTAATTTGTGTGGTGCCACAATAAATAAATACAGCACATTTAATTATCACTGAAGCACAGCAACAAAAACATCTTTGTTATGCATGTAAGATTAGACAAGGGAAACGGGTTTAATTCGGTTTGAGATTCTGTTGTTCTTTTAAAATTGCATTTGCGTGCATTTTATTTTATTGTGTTTGCATTCAATTGATTAATTTAGAAGATTTTTAAATTGACTTTAAAATGAGAATAACGCAAACAAAATTGTTCAGTTTAATTTTGCTCCCTGTGCTCATAGATGTGAGAACAGACAGAGCATTGTGTTATTGTGAAGTGTATTTCCATTATCCTGCAGATAAGACTCTTTATCTACGCTGTCCTTGGTTAAACTGCGGTCAACAGTTATGGGGCAACAAAAACTAAATGATCTCATGTGCACTTCCACTGAGATTAACCTGGGACTTTACTGACATCATAAGGGATTTTCCAGTTTGTGTTAATTTAGGTAGTAATATCTGTGTGTATTTTGAATAAAACCTACAAAGTATATACAGCTAAAGATATGCGAGTAGATTCAAGAAATTTATTCTCTATGGTCGTCACCATTATGTGAACACAGATCACCACAAGACAAAAGAACAAGACTGCTAAACAATTGACATTTAAAGACATTATGAGTAACAGCCCAATAAAATTGAGTCATTCTTAGTGCAATAAAGAAGTACTGTGACATATTGATGATATAGTGCCTGATTGTCATGGTAGGCCTACACTAGTTCCTCAATTTCACCATGGTAGATTTCCAAGATACCGTCTCAATGCCATTGTATTTTGGTACTTTGTTATTGACGGATCTATTGTTATTGTTCTATAGTAATCAATACAGTAGACTAATATGTATAACCCTTTTTTTTTTTGTAGTAAATCCATGGTTCATTTTCATTAGGGAGCACACTGTCATATAAAGCGATACCTAGCCTATCTTAAGTAACACAACACTGTGTGTCCACTCAGCTATGCGTGTGTGTAGTAGTGACCCAACACTTGCACTCTCTATTCTAATTCTACGGAAAAAAAACACTTGACCCTCTAACACTAGCACTCTCTATTCTAATTCTATGGAAAAAAAACACTTGACCCTCTAACACTAGCATTCTCTATTCTAATT